AGAAACAATGAAATCTGGCCATGTGTAGCAACATGGATGGACCTTGAGGGTGTTATGCTGAGCGAAATAAGTCAGGCAGAGAAGGACAAATATCATATGTTTGCACGTATAGGAGGATTAGGAGGAACTTGACGGAGGAATAAGGGGGAGAAGAAGGGGGGAAATGGTGGGGGAGAGGGAGGGAGGCAAACCATGAGAGACTCTTGAATGCTGACAAAAACTGAGGACTGATGGATGGGGGGGGAGGGGGGATGGGCATGGAGGAGGGCACTTGTGGGGATGAGAACTGAGTGTTATGTGGAAACTAATTTGACAATAAACTATTTGTAAAAAAAAAAAAATTAAAAAAACAAACAAACGATGCACTACCAAAAAAAAAAAATGCATAAACTGACCTCTTCTTATGCGTTACATGGAGGAGTCACTGCAAGCCTATTAGGAAGAATGGCGTCCAATCCAAAGGGCGTTAGTCAGGTGAGGGAGTGGAGGTCAGATGAAGGACAAGGTCTGAGAGATGGATGGTCCTGTTGTGTTTGGAGAATGCATGGTGTCCAGTGTGGATGGAGCTGGAGTAGGGATGGAAGTGGGAACCTCATGGGTTCTTCCGTGTGGACTAAAAGCCTCAGGGGCCCTCCTTGTACAACCACGGCCTCACAACTCTCTCCTATGGTCCACACGTGTGTCCATGTGTGTGCATACATTTGCAGTGTGTGCGTGTGTGCATTCATGAGCATGCGTGCATGTGTGCATTCGTGACCGTGTGTAGGTGTGTGTGTTCATGACCATGTGCGTGTGTGTGTCTGTGTGTACGTGGGTGAATTTGTGGGCACGTGCGTGTGGGTGTGTGCACCCATGTGCACGTGTTTACGCCCATGGGCACGTGCGTGCATGTGGGGTGTGTGCGTCCGTAGACACGTGTGTGCATGTGGGGTGTGGGGCTGCACCATCTGCACTTGTATGCAGGCACACGTCCCCTCAGACATCCCCCCCACTCATCCGTGGGACACTCGGTTCAGAAAACACTGATTCACCCCTTGTCCCGTTTCATGCTCTGAGCTGGACACTAGGTCTAAGCAGACACTGGGACCACGGCCCCGTGTGCAGAGCTGCTGCAGGCTGGGCCTGTGAAAACATTTATTGATGAACAACACTAAGCGTAACCCAGGAAACGGGGTCTCAGCTACCAGCTGCCCAGTGTAGCCCGGGCTCAGGGTCCACCACTGAACTCTGGAAAGTCTTAGGGGCCGGCTGAGTGGACAATTGAAACAGAGTCTCTGGGGCCATTGGGGACACACGGGACACATCCGGAATCACCTGGGTGACTGTGGGGCCGTAGCTGAGTCTCTGGAAACTGCCGGGGGACTGTAGCCCTGGGTGTTTGCAAATTAAGTGGTACTCGTTCTCTCCAAGCGTCTAGCTGATTTCCGGAGGGACCACGCGGTTAATGAATCTCCTAGACGTTGACCGGGGACCTCTGGAGTTCAGCTCTTGCCTCCAGGAGAGCTGACTGCATGGCTTTTCAGAAAGGGAGGATTCCAAAGAGAAGCCCTCCAGCGGCCACTTGACGCTCTGGCAGGAGTGACTTCATGTCTCGGAGCAGAGGCCAGGTGTGCGTGAATCAGCGTCTGGCCAGGGATGCGTATGTGCTGGCCTCAGCCGTGGGCTCCACCGACTGCGGGAACGTGGCTCGGGCCGTCCTCTGTGTGAGGACCTGCTGGTCCAGCTGAGCGTACGTCACGTCCTGGGGGCTTCCTGCAGCAGGGGTCTGAGAGAGCGAGGCCCAGGGTGAGTCAGGGTGGCTGGGACTGTGCGAAGGGAAGCCCAGTGGCCAGCCTCCAGGCGACCCCTGTGACGCCACCTCCTGAGGCCACCACTGTGCAGTCCCCTCCCACCTCGAATCAGGGCTGGCCGGTGTGAGCAGTAGAATATGGCAGAATGAGAGCAAGCCACCTCCAGGAGCACTGTGACCAAACTGCTGACCCGGGGTTGTTTGTTACGGAGCCAGAGGTATTGCATGCGGGGACTTACTGGGCTGGGTGCTTCCCTGTCCTCCTCAGGAAGTCTGTCAACTGATGGCAGATCTGGAGGGGAGAGGACCAGGGGTCAGGTCTCTGGGTGGGTCTCGGAAGGCAAATTTGCCTGAAAACCCACAGCTTCAGATTTCACCCAGCACCCCATCTAGAACATCCTGGAATGTTCCCAAACGTTCCCTTCTCCCTGGCCTGTCCCTCCTCCTCATCCTTTTACCTGGTGTCTTCTCGAGGTCAACAGCTGGGCTGACCCTGCGGAGGAAAGAACAGTGAGCACTGGGGGGCCCCCTGGAGGCAGGGGCTGGGAGGGGGTCTGGGGTCAGTCTCAGGGGCCTCACCTTTCCTGGGGCCTCTGCTCCTCACCCCGGCTGCTGGGGAGCTCTGTGGACAGTCAGGGGTGTGAATTAAGAAGAGAAGGCTTCTTCCCAACACCGCAAACAGCCTCCCCAGCCCCTCCCCCCGAGACCTACTGCGCTTTTTCTGACGCTGACCACACAGGAGGGCAAGAGCCAGGAGGAGGAGACAAAGGAACAAGGCCACAGAGACCCCGACGAGAATATAGACATGCTCTGTTGACAGGTCTGGGAGAACAGGGAACATGGAACCAGATTATCAGCAGCGTGCGTTTATGGAGCGCCTACTGCATACCCCATGTGTGCTGGTTGCTTGTCATGTGCACACCTGTGTATACAACTTCATGAATGCATAATAGTCCTGTGGATTATCAGCAGCGTGCATTTATGGAGCACCTACTGCATACCCCATGTATGCTTGTCATGTGCACACCTGTGTAAAATCTCTCCAATTCATAACAGTCCTGTGACATGGGAAGTCCTCTGTCCACGGGACATTGGCAGAGTTGGACTACGACCAACACCAAAGCCCATCCTTTCCCCAAGAAGCACACAGCCGGTCCCTGCTCCTCGCCCCCCCCCCCCACTCACCTAGGCTGTTACTGTCGTCGCCATATGTCTGAGTGTCTCCTAGGAAGGAGGAAGCGAGCACACTGTCAGAGGCCTGAGCTGGATGGAGAAGGCGGAGTCCTCCCAACCCCCGCCCCTTCCAAAAGGGGCTCCTCTAGAACGAACCCATGGAACTTTCCATGGGGATACACATGCTCTACATCCGTGCTGTGCAGCGTGATAACCCCACGGGGCTATTTCCACTGAAATTCAAGTTAAATAAATAAAAGTCAGATCCCGGCTGCGCTGGCCACGTTCCACGGGCTCAGTGGCCACACCCGACTAGCGGCACCTTCCGGGAGGTTGCGGACGCGGGGCGCAGGCGCTGTGGGACAGTGCAGCCCTGCGCCCTCCCCGAGCTCACCTCCTCCTGGATCCCCCCCCCCGTTTCTCACAGCACCCCCTGATGGGGCGGCACCCCCCCTCCTGGGAGTGAAGAAGCGACACTCCGCATCCTGAAGTCCCCCGGGGCCTGTCAAACCAGCACCAGCAAGGCCTGGGGTCAGCGCATGCGCGGAACTGCTGCTGGGCTCATCCCTGAGGAGGGGGCCCGTGTCCCCAGTGCCCCCCCGCCCCCCGCCCCGGAGGCTGAGTACTCAGTGTCCTTTAAGAAAGGCAGGAAACTTCAGCTGCTGGAACTTCCCTCCCTCAACACCCTGTCCTGGTCCATAATCTAGGACCCCACCTGCTCTAATATATAATAAATATAAGTATACATTTTAAAGTCTGTGTTTTAACTTATATAGGTATCATTTAATTGCTATAAATAATTGTAATTATATATAATTTAAAATTACTTAGAATCTGTAAGATATATGACTTATACTCTCAATTATACATTTTACTTCGAACATGTGAGATATAAGAGTTATATCTCAATTATACAGATTTATTATTAGATGACACCTATTTACGTTGAGATTTATGTATGTAAATTATAAAATACATGACATGTAATATAATATATGACACTACGTAATGTATAATACTGTATACTATATGATTATGTAATGATAATTCATGTATATTATTTTAATTCTATTCCTTGTATGTTTAATGGTAAGTAAGATATATTCTATAAGGTAAAGATATACTGTTATATATTTAAATTTATAGCTCTGAAATTTTACATGGTAAGTTATATGTTTATATTTATATATAGATATATAAATATAGATACATTATATACCATGACACATTATATAATGATACATCATACTTAAATATAGATACATTATATTTAACTACAGATATATTGTATATAATGATACATATGCTAAACACATTAAGTATGATGTATGTAGTGATACATACACATTTCTATTCCGCATTCTAGCTAACTTCGCCCCCTGAGGTTCGGGAGCGCAGGGACCCTTTCTGTCTGCCGCGCACCCAGCCCTCACAGGCGGGTGTCTGGTGCACACTGAGGAGGTAGAAGGAAATACGTCCTCAGTGTAGCAAGACTTGTCCTGAACGGTTCAGCAGGCACTGACTTGGGGCGCTGTGTACACGCAGCCCTGTATCCCTGTATCCCCGAAACAGCGCTTCAGGGTCCTTGCACTTATCGCCCTTTTTGCGCAGGAGGGAACTGGGTTGAGCAGGGTTTTGAGGATTCACCGCGAGCGAGTGCGAGGCTGGGGTCTTAACCCTGATCCCCCGCAGGGCGGACCTTCAGTCTCCAGGGCCAGAGATGGGAGAGAGGGGCGACAGGGAGGGGGCTTGTGTCCGGCGCCGTTTAGGATTCTGGGGGGTCGCTCCTCCTCTCTGTGACCTAACGTCACTGTTGTGACCTGATGCAGAGCCTGTTGTCCTTCCAGCAGCGTCCGAATTTGGAAGATGGGTGGTCAGTCCTTCTGTCCCTCTGGACCACTGTCCCTTGCAGAGCTGCAAATAATAGGACTCTGCCCCCAAGGGGGTCTCCCCAGCCCACACCCCCAGCCCAGGACTTGGGGCCTTGTGCCTCTGGGCATGCACTGTGCTTTGCTTTGCGTACGGAAGGAGTGGGGGGCTCTCAGGTCCGAGGACTGCCTCCCGCTGGCTGCTTTCATAGCGCCTCACACAGGAAGTTCAAGCCGGTAGTGCCCCAGTGCTCTGCAGGGGGCGCTGTGGCTGCACCGGCCCCTCATGCAAGCGCAGCCCAGATCCTCAGCACGGAGCGCCCCCCACCCCCGCCCCACCCCTGCAAGGTCACTCACCAGTCGAGTTGCAGGTCCGTGGTGGGGAGGAGCCGACACTTCCAGGGGTCTCTGTGAGCAGGGCAGAGGAAGGACCGGTGCTCTGTGGAGGCCCCCAGGGTCTGTCCCACTCAGCCCGGACCCTCTGTGCCCTGAGCATCCATCTGAGGGCCCCATCTGGCCGTCGCGCAGTCCCAGAGAAATCCTGGGGCAGAGCAGAGGTGTTCTCACCTGTCACCACTAGGTCCAGCGTCGCACTGCGATCAGACCATGCTCTGTTTCTATAATAGAGGCAGCGGTAGTGCCCTTCAGTGCCTTTATCTGCAGTGAAGGAGAACCGGGCTTCTGTGTCGTGCGGTGTCGGCTTGCTCACATCTGGTTTCAAGGCACCGCCCTCCTTCTCCAGGCGGAATACGTCAAAGGCAGCGGGGCTCCGGCACACGACGGTCACACACTGCCCCAGGGGGCTCTCGGCGGCCGGTTCAGCGTGGATGGTGGGCGGAGGCAGGGTCCCTTGCAAGGAAGCAGAGCAGGCCCTCAGGGTCCGCCTGTGGGGGACTCACCACCACACACAATTCACCCCTGCTAGACGCTCAGGTCACTTTATTTTTTTTTTTATTTTTTATTTTTTTTACAAATAGTTTATTGTCAAATTAGTTTCTACATAACACTCAGTGCTCATCCCCAAAGTGCCCTCCTTCATGCCCATCCCCCCCTCCCCCCCACATCCATCAGTCCTCAGTTTTTGTCAGCATTCAAGAGTCTCTCATGGTTTGCCTCTATCCCTTTCCCCCACCATTTCCGCCCTTCTTCTCCCACTTGTTCCTCCGTCAAGTTCCTCCTAATCCTCCTATAAGTGCAAACATATGATATATGTCCTTCTCTGCCTGACTTATTTCGCTCAGCATAACACCCTCAAGGTCCATCCATGTTGCTACACAGGCCAGATTTCATTGTTTCTCATTGCCATGGAGTAGTCCATGGTATAGATAAACCACATCTTCTTGATCCATTTGTCAGTTGATGGACACTTAGGCTCTTTCCAAGTTTTAGCTATTGTGGAGAGTGCTGCTATGCACATTGGGGTACACGTGCTCCTATGCCTCAGCATTTCTGTATCCCTTGGGTAAATTCCTAGCAGTGCTATTGCTGGGTCATAGGGGAGTTCTATTGTTAGTTTCGCTCAGGTCACTTTAAAGCAAAGTCGCAGAGGTGGGCAAAGGCCGATCACGACTCTTTAGAGCATCACCACCCCCCTCCCTGCGGCCCCTGTCCCCACACACCACAAGCTAGTCCTTAGCTGCCGTCTCCCTCCCAGCCCCCTCGGTCCCCCCCGAAAGCGGCCGTGGGCAGACACGTCCGGCGCCCGGCCTGCTCGGCCTGTGTCGCCCTGAGAAAACCCCAAGGGCGACCAAGGCTCAGGGTCCTCGTGTCAAGGGAGAGAGGAACTGCACTGAGGAAATGCACGCCCACCTAGAACGGCTCTTTAAGAAAGACAGGAAACTTCGACTCCTGGAGGTTCCCTGCCTCAACACGCTGTCCCCGCCCCCAGGACCCCATGCCCTCTAATACCTAACAAATAATAAGTACACATTTTAAATTCTGTTTTTAACTTATATAATTATATATATGTATACAGATATGTATATATTATATATGTATAATTTAATTGATATAAATAATTGTGATAATACATAATTTAAAATTACTTATAATATGTAAGCTGTATATATGACATATCTCAACTCTACATATTAGATGGCATGTATTTATTTAAATTTTTTTTTCGATGTTTATTTTTTTTTATTTTTTTTATGTTTTATTTATTTCTAGGAGAGAGAGAGAGAGACAGTGTGAGCAGGGGAGGGTCAGAGAGAGAGGGAGTGACAGACTGAAACAGGCTCCAGGCTCCGAGCTGGCAGTCAGCACAGAGCCCGACGCGGGGCCCGAACCCACGAACCGCGAGATCATGACCTAAGAGAAAGTCGGACGCTTAACCGACTAAGCCACCCAGGCGCCCCCGATGTTTATTTTTGAAAGAGAGAGACAGGGTGTGAGTGGGGGAGGGGCAGAGAGAAAGGGAGACACAGAATCCAAAGCAGGCTCCGGGCTCTGAACTGTCAGCACAGAGCCTGACATGGGGCTTGAACTCACGAACCATGAGATCATGACCGGAGTGGAAGTCAGACGCTTAACCGACTGAGCCACCCAGGAGTCCCACAGTGTATTTACATTGACACTTACATATATAAATTACACCAATACATGACATGTAATATGATGTGTGACATTATATAATACGGAATACTGCATACTATATTCATATGTAATAATAATTCATGCATTTTATTATATTAATTATATTACCTGTATATTTAATATAAAGGTAAATATATATTCTAATACATTTAAATCTGTAGATCTGAAATTTTACATTTTACAACATAAGTTATATGTTTATATTTCTATGTGGATATATAAATACATTACATGTAAATATATATACCTATATCATGTATATAAACATAAAAGTATAAATATATAACATATATGTATATACACGCAATGCGAGCCTTCTGTGGAGCTCTCATGTCCAGTTTCCTCTGTATTTTCTACCCTCATCTAAGCCTAATTTCTACTCCCATGTTGTTAAGGTTCATGAAAACCCTCATCTGCTGCAACTAGGCTGGAGGCAGGGAAAGGAGAGTTTGCAGCCTTGAAACAGGAAGGTGGCATTACAGTTACAAAATGCCTCAAAGAGGCAGGAGCTGAGAGACGTTTATTTGCTCATTTTCTGCCTTTTCTTTATCTTCCTGCCTTCCTTCCTCCCTCCCTCCCTCCCTCCCTTCTTCCTTCCATCCTTTCTGTTTCTTTTTCTTTTTGGTTCTTTTTGATTTTTAAATGTTTTTATTTATTTCTGAGAGAAAGAGAGACAGACAGACAGAGCGTGAGCAGGGGAGGGGCAGAGAGAGAGGGAGACACAGAATCTGAAGCAGCTCGAGGCTCTGAGCTGTCAGCAGAGCCCGACGCGGGGCTTGAACCCACGAACCCTGAGACCGTGACCTGAGCCGAAGTGGGACACTTAACCGACTGAGCCACCCAGGTGCCCCATCTTTTTTTTTTTTTTTAAGATTTACACCCAACATGGGGCTTGAACTCACGGGTGTGAAATCAAGAGTCCCATGCAGTGCCCACTGAGCCGGACAAGCACCCCTTTCTTTCCCTTCCTTCCTTCCTCTACCATATCCATCCATGGACAGATGCCCGTCACATGCCACTGGCTCCACAAACATGAGAAACACACACACGATCCCTACCCTCTCGGGGCCGAGAGTACAGAGAACACTGATCAAACATTTGTCCAAGTTTGCAGATACAACCTGATGTGAGTCCTAGGGGTGAGTGCGAGAACCTAGGGGGCAGAGGGGAGGTCCGAGGGAAGGGGCATCTGAGCTGACAGGGGAGGGTCTGGTGTGAATCGTCCACGCTGAGCAGAGAGGGACAGAGGAATCAGCATGTGAGGAGGGCCAGAGTAGAGGGGAGTATGGCGAGTTTGAGGAAGAAAGCAGCGTGAGGTATCTGGAGACGAGCGAGCTGTGAGCTGCGCGGCGTGAGGACCGGGCGGGTCCACACCCAAGAGCATGGATCTCATTCCATCTGAACGGAAGTGATGAAAGGGCTCTAAGGAGTTAATATTTCACCCAAGAATGAAAAATATATATATACGGAAGACAAACTCCAAAGATGTAAGTGAAACTTTACAATTATCATTTCAAACCCTATCACTGGGTGATGTGCTGTCTATCGAGGGTGGAGGACTTGGAATCTAGGATGCCACCTTGGTGACCGTCTTGTTCTCTGCCCAGGGGGTGGTGAGGGGGGCGCTGGGCTTGTAGGGGGAGCCTGTGGCCTGTGGGCTCAGCCTGGGCCTGCGGAGTTTGAATTGTTTGGGGGGGGGTGGGAGGGGCTGTCGGGAGCCCAGATGGAGCATAGGCACAGACCTGACGAGGGTCAGACGTCTGCGGTTGCTTGCGATTCGGGATCTCAGGGCCTCCTCTCGGGTCCCACCAGGGTCAGCACCCTCCGTCTAGAGCTGCCTTTTGGGGTGCAGAGAGGCTGGGGAGAAGACTCACCTGTCTGAGCGTGGAGCACCCGGGCCAGGCAGAGCACTGGAAGACAGGCTTTGGTGAGAGATGCCCGCCACCGTTTCCTCGGGGGTGGGGGGCAGTACCACCCTTCTTCTTGCTCTGAAAGATTCTGGAGACAAGGCCCCGCCCCCTCTTCTCTCCCCCAGCCCCTCCTGAGTGGGAATTTGTCTCCAGACCCAGAAGCCCGTTTCTAGGGCTGAACCTGCATGGTCTGACTTAGGTCTTAGCCCCACTTAGCTCCCCCGGAGCCCCAGAGTCTTCTGGACAGGAGTCAGGACTGGGAAGGGAAGCAGAACCCCTCCCCAAGGCTCCCCCCCACCCTGTCTGTCCCTCGAACCCTTTGCCTGCATTCCAGGACTCACCAAGGGCCAGGAAGGTGCTGGAGTGGGGACACATGTCCAGACCCCTGTGGCCCGCACCGTCCTGGGGCCAGTGGGTGAGAGGACAGAGTCTGCAGCTGACAAGGGGACAGGATGTGTCAGCTGGGGCACGTCTTGGGGTTTCCACATCACAAGTCTCCCACAAAGGGGAAGAAGGCTTGGTCTTCCCACGAATGAGACAGAGCGAGGGCCTGGGCCTCTGAAAGATGCTTCTCCCCCCTGCTCTGCTTGGCTGAGGCTGAGCCCCTCCTCAGGCGACCCCCTGAGGTGAGACAATGATCCTCGGCCTCTGGAATGAGGCAGAGCACAGATCCGTGCAACACGCCAGCCTGGGTCTGTGTGCGGCTCCGCGGAGTAGCCATCTGTTCTTGGGCAAGGGTTGTGCCACTTCACATGTTTCCTCATATGTAAAATGGGAGGCCGGAAATCCTCCTTGGAGTATTTAATATCATGGCATTGGCTACCTTCTCAGTCGGGTGCTGAGGGCTTTACAAATTTCCTGCTAACACGAGTTCCCACCTTCCCCCAGTGTCACCCATCAGCACATGCAAAGTGTCCAGAAGGGGTGGATAGTCAGGAGGCAGACCTCGGGCCAGACGGGAGGGTGGGGGGCGGGGCACCAGGCGGGGGGTGGGGGTAGAGAACGGGGTGGGGAAAGGCTTCTGCCCCACGGAGCCAGGAGGCCCGTCATGGAGTCTGGTGTCCACCGCCTCCGAAGACAGGGAAGAGCCAGTCCCCCAGGCTGTGGCTGTGCAGACGCTGACAGTGGCTGCATGGAGGTCACTGCTCACTATACACTAATGGATGCCTGGCGGTGCTGGAATGACTCACTTCCAAGCGTGGGGCCGCAGCTGGGGGGAGTCGAGTTTGGGTTGAGACAGTCTGAAATCCCGTTGGCAGTCCTCGGTGCAGAGTGGGGCCTATGACCAGGTACAGCCAATGATGCTTTAAGGAGAATATGGCACAATGTCTGGGATTCCTATTTCTCCCCTAATAACAGGGGGTCTCAGGAGACCTTTCCCCCTGTACTCCTGTCCTTCACCAGCAACCATATCATCATGACGTGATAGATGGAGCCACAGCAGCCACCTCACAACCATGAGGCAACAAGCGTGGACACACACAGAAGCAGTTGGGGCAGAAGCACGCGAGATCTAAGATCCTCAGATCTGGATCCCTGAGTTGCCAAACTAATAACCCTGAGGGCTCCTAGTCCTGGAATTCTTCATAAGTAAACAGCTAACATCCTAGATTTTCTGTCAAAACGTCAGACTAAGTTTATGGACCAACGTGCGGTCTTAAAACAATAATTATATTTTTTTAAATGTTCTATTTATTTCTAGGAGAGAGAGAGACAGCATGAGCAGGGGAGGGTCAGAGAGAGAGGGAGACACAGACTCTGAAACAGGCTCCAGGCTCTGAGCTGGCAGTCAGCACAGAGCCCGACGCGGGGCAAGAACACACGAACCGCGAGATCATGACCTAAGTGAAAGTCGGACGCTTAACCGACTAAGCCACCCAGGCACCCCCAGAATAATTATTTTTAAAAACCTAAAACTGCATAATACAGTATCTTAAGAATCTTCTTAAAGGCCTTAAGGAAATGAAAACGATGTGGGGGCCATGCAGTCAGAAACGAAAGGAAGCTGGGGTCCCAGAGTCAACTGAATGCTGAACCGCTCTAACCTTGACGGCCACCGGTGGACCCTCATGTCCGTGACCTTGCAGACCACGGGGTTGCCCCAGTCAAGGAGTCTGGGGCGACTCTCCCTTTGCTAAGCCAGACTCTCACAAACTTCCACTTGGACACAAGAGTGAAGTGAAATTACTGACCGTTTCTGAGGGTCACCAGGACCGCGTGTTTCGCAACAGGAGGTGGAACGGGTGTCCTGAAAGTCACCAGCGCCTGCGCCCCGACAATCTGCGTCCTCTGAGCTTTTCCTCTGCGTGTGTCGTCCGCGGATCTCTCTGTCTCTGTCCGTCTCTGTCCTCCTCTCTCCTTCCTGCTCCCTCCCCCAGTGTCTGCCCACCCCTGCATCCCCAGGACGCATCCCCTGGTCCCACTATGATCAGGTCCACCCCAAGCTGCACTTACCCGAGGAGCTGACTCCCGGGGGTGGGTTGTCTGCTTAGAATGGGAACGGCTAGTTTCAACACCTATAGGCCTCTCAGAAGACTGAGGTCATAGGGTCCATCGAGTTGGCTATTCTGGGTCTGTTGCTTGTTTGTTTATTTGTTTTATTTTATTTATTTATATTTTATTTCTGAGAGAGAGACAGCGTGAGCAGGGGAGGGTCAGAGAGAGAGGGAGACACAGAATCTGAAGCAGCTCCAGGCTCTGAACTGTCAGCACAGAGCCCGACACGGGGCTCAAACCCACCAACTGTGAGATCATGACCTGAGCCAAAGCCAGGCACTCAACCGACTGAGCCACCCAGGCATCCCTGTTTGTTTGTTTTAATGGAAGGTGATGTGTAGGTATCATCCCTCAATACTCTCAGAAAGCCCCTCAACCTCTGTATTTTTCTACGATCTTGACTCCCCACTGGAGAGTGCTTATGTGAAGCCTCGCTTCAGGATAAGCAAGGAGCGTCTTCCAGCAGAAGCCTTCCTGGACCCTTGCACGGTACCGACCGACCTTTCCTTTAATAGATTCAGATATATACACAACCTTTGTGAATTAAATATAAACTGGGCCTTTGCAAAGCAAAATGTACAGAAACGCAACGGCACAAGATACAACACGAAATGGGATTAAAAAATGAGTTCTGCTTAAAAGGAAAGAGAGAGTTCTGTGAAAAACCAGAGCGAAATGGTGGTTAGCAGGTGTTGGGGGCGAGGGCATTGGCGAAGTTATTTAAGGGTGTACATCTGTATGAGTAGGTAAATGAACCCCAGGAGGTCTAGCACAGTACAGAGATTGTAGACAACACAATTGTATTCGAAATGTTCTCAATACAATTCTAAATTGTATTCTAAACCTGCTGAGAGACTAGATCTCAACTCTTGTCCCCACAGGAGAAAATGGTTAAGTCTGTAAAAATGAGGGTATTGGCTACACTACAGTGTATCTAATCAACCCCTTGTTCGCCTTCAATTCACACAATGTCGCATGGCAATTGTATCTAAATGTTTAAAAAAAGCATAGGATGTGGTGTGGTAGGAGCCTCCTGGTTGGTGGTTTAGGTCTTCTGCAAGCGAGCAGCCATCTGTAACAATGAGTGGTTTTCATTCTGTCCTGGGCAGAGAAAAGAACTTAGCTTCCTGGAAAGTTTTTTTTTCTACAGGACACCCAAGGCTTACATGGCAAACCAAGCCCCAATTAGTTGAGCCTCCCAGGAGCCTCAAAGTATATTATTATTTACATCATTCCTTTACTAACTGAATATGTAAGTATTCTTGTAAAAAATTTTTTATACAAATTCAAATGATTATTCCAACCAGAATTTTGACTCAGTACCACTTATAACGACCTCAGTTTTCCTTCGTGAAGGTCTTCGAGTTACTGACTGTGACAGGGAAAATGTGTTAGAAGATGGACTGATGGGGGAACTCCAGTCCCCGCCCAAAGACTCCCATTCCGGGTTTTCCTTCCCACTCCGCTTGCCGTGCCAACAGACTATAAATTATTCTCTCTGCAGAGGCTCAGGGCTCAGCCCTCTGGAGATCTCCTCTCCAGGTCTGGAGACCTCAGAGCTCCTCTGAGCCCACCCGTGTAAAATAAACCTCCTCCCTTCCAACATCTCCGAGTGCCGAGTGCCAGATCCAGACCAGGTCCCGTAACAAATGTATCTTGGAATTCCATATAATTAGCAATGTATGACACACATAAAAACTATTTGTTGAGAATTTTATCTAAAATCCCCCTTTTTAGGGGCGCCTGGGTGGCTTAGCCGGTTAAGCATCTGACTTCGGCTCAGGTCATGATCTCACTGTTCGTGGGTTCAAGTCCCGTGTCGGGCTCTGTGCTGACAGCTCAGAGCCTGGAGCCTGTTTCAGATTCTGTGTCTCCCTCTCTCTCTGACCCTCCCCTGCTCACACTGTGTCTCTCTCTCTCTCAGAAATAAATAAAACATTAAAAAAAATTTTTAAAAATAAAATAAAATCCCCCTTTTTAAATGTTTATTATTTACTCTGGGAGAGAGAGAGAGAGAGAGCCCGAGCAGGGGAGGAGCAGAGAGAGAGGGAGAGAGAGAGAATCCCAAGCAGGCTCGACACTGTCAGCACCGGGCCTGTCGCAGAGGTCGGGCTTGAACTCACAAATCTGGAGACCACGACCTGGGCCAAAATCAGGAGTTGAATGCTTAACGGAGCCACCCAGGCGCTCCTATCTAAAATCCTTATTCACTGGCCTAATAAGAGTTTCTTTCCCTACCTCCCCTCCCTCCCCTCCCTCCCCTCCCCCTCCCTCCCCTCCCTCTCTCTCCCTC